GAGAGAGAGAGACAGTGTGAGCAGGGGAGGGTCAGAGAGAGAGGGAGGCACAGAATCTGAAACTGGCTCCAGGCTCTGAGCTAGCTGTCAGCACAGAGCTCGACGCGGGGCTCAAACTCATGAACCATGAGATCATGACCTGAGCCAAAGTCGGACAGTTAACTGACTGAGTGACCGAGGTGCCCCAATAGTTATCATTTCTGACATCCTACTGTGCACAAAAACATTTTGAATCATCATAAAGTAATAGCAGTAACCACATTTTTAGGGGAAAAAAACATTTAGAGTTAACTGTGACAATAACAGTATACATCAGATCACAGAGTCAAGGTTGTTTGAGTTGAAAACCCATCTTAATCACTATTTCAGAGTTATTAGAATAAAGGAAGTTATGAAAGTTATCAAAGAAAACACCTTAATTGTCTTCAATTATTTTGGAAGATCATATCAAGGAAGAAATTGGTTTATATCCATAGATTTGAATAGAAGAATTAGAACCAGTGAGTAGGAGAGAGAATGAGAAAGACTTCTGCTAAGGTAAAGATAGTCTGAAAGATTACATGCATTTAAATGGATTTGGGCTACGACTTCAATGAGTGAATCACTAGATTTGGAAGGACTGATGGAGGATGAAGTACATCCATGCAAAATGGAATCAAAGGTGATGACTTTGATTTGAAGGTGCCAGTTGACTGTTCATTGAAGGCTGCTTTTGCCTCCTTCTCCAGCAAACACACCAGATACATGGAAACAGAAAACCGGACAGAAGTATCAGTATTCCTCCTCCGGGGTCTCTCAGATGATCCGGAAATGCAGCCACTCCTCTTTGGCGTGTTCCTGTCCATGTATCTGGTCACTGTGCTTGGAAACCTGCTCATCATCCTGGCTATCAGTTCTGACTCTCACCTCCACACCCCCATGTACTTCTTCCTCTCCAACCTGTCCTTTGTTGACATCTGTTTCATCTCCACCACTGTCCCAAAGATGCTGGTGAATATCCAGGAACACAGCAAAGACATTTCCTATATAGAATGCTTCGTTCAAGTGTATTTTTTTATGATTTTTGCTGGAATGGACGATTTCCTCCTGACTGTGATGGCGTATGACCGGTTTGTGGCCATCTGCCACCCCCTGCACTACACAGTCATCATGAGCCCACAATTCTGTGTCCTCCTGGTTCTGAGTTGTTGGCTCACCCTTTTCTGGGTCTCCTTGATTCATATTCTGCTGGTGAGGCGGCTGACCTTCTGTACAGGCACTGAGATTCCACATTTCTTCTGTGAACTGGCTCAGATTATTAAGGCAGCCTGCTCTGACACCCTCATCAATAACATCTGCTTGTATGTTGCCACTGCACTGCTGTGTGTGTTTCCTCTCACTGGGATCCTCTACTCATACTCTCAGATTGTCTCCTCCTTAATGAAGATGTCCTCCAGAGAGAGCAAGTATAAAGCATTCTCCACCTGTGGGTCTCACCTCTCTGTGGTCTCTTTGTTCTATGGGACAAGCCTGGGGGTTTACCTCACTTCTGCTGTGACCCATTCTTCCCAGGGAAGTTCGATTGCCTCAGTGATGTACACTGTGGTGACCCCCATGTTGAACCCCTTCATCTACAGCCTGAGGAACAAGGATGTGAAGGGGGCCCTGCGAAGGCTCCTCAGCAGAGCAACCTCATGGCCATGATGGGCCATGGCTTCAAAGCCAGGTGGACACTGTGGGTCCCAAAGGCAAATGTGAGATTAAATCTGTTTCTTTTGCTCCTCCAATGGATGTGTTTGATTTATTGTATTCCCAAAACACCCATGACTTCCTTTTACTTGTTTTTGTATTAGTTTCTCCTCAACAACTCCCTCCATAACACATTTTGGACTTTTCTTCTCCATATGTTGTTGACAAAGTTCCATGTTTGATCTGCTTTCTTGCAGCCATTCTTAAGATTCTACCTTTAGGCTAAAAGTACTTATATCAATTGCTGCTGTGGTTGCCACCCAAACAATCCTCTAAAATTTTGATGTTCTTCACCTTCATTTTTTTTTAATGGTGAAAAACATTTATATTTAGGTTTAGCCAGCTGGGCTTAGTTTATTTAAAAAAAATTTTTTTTATGTCTTTATTTTGAGAGACATGGACAGAGAGCGAGTGGGGAAGGGGCAGAGAGAGTAGGAGACATAGAATCTGAAGCAGGCTCCAGGCACTGAGCTGACAGCATAGAGCCTGATGCGGAGTTCAAACCCACGGACTGTGAGATCATGGCCTGAGCCAAAGTCGGATGCTTAACCAACTGAGTCACTCAGGCGCCCCTGAAAAAAGTTTTTTAATGTTTATATATTTTTGAGAGACAGAGACAGAGCACAACTGAGGGCGGGACAGAAAGAGAGGAAGACACAGAATCTGAAGCAGGCTCCAGGCACTGAGCTGATAGCATAGAGCCTGACACGGAGTTCGAACCCACAAACATGAAATCATGACCTGAGCTGAAGTTGGACACTCAACCGACTAAGTCACCCAGGTTCCCCAGCTGGACCTAGTTTAAAAAATTTTTTAACATTTATTTACTTTTGAAAGAGAGACAGAGAGAGAGAGAGACAAAGGAGAGCAGAGAGAGAGGGAGACACAGAATCCAGAACAGTCTCCAGGCTCTGAGCTATCAGCACAGAGCCCTATGTGGGGCTCAAACTCACAAACCGAGAGATCATGACCTGAGCCAAAGTTGGACGCTAAACTGACTGACCCATCCAGGTGCCCCTGGACTCAGTTTAGATGACCCCAATTTGTTGGAAACTCCAAAGCATCATAGTTGGGAGCCAGTCGAACATATGCTTTCTTTTCTCCACTGGACCTTATCAGAGTGTTGGCCTTGGCCACTTCAATGTCTCATAGAGCTTCTTCACAGCCTGTTTAGAATGGTACTTGATGGCCTTGACATCCACAATGAACACAGGTGTGTTGTTGACTTCTATTTTCATCTATTGTCATTTCTATTCTCATGACATCTATTTTCATCATATTTTCATCATATCTTACTCAGTAGTAAGGGTGCACTTGATGATGGCATAGTGGTCAGCTTGTTTCTCCTGGGGGCTCTTTTTCAGGGATATTTGGGTTGCCTTTGGAGACATAGTGTCTTGGGAGGTCAGAATGTAAGTGACATGTGGTGGTTCTTCTTCCTCCTTCCTCCTCCTTCTTCCTCCTCCTCCTCCTCCTCCTCCTCCTTCCCGTGGATGACTTTCAGCACTGCTTTCTTGGCTCTGGGAGGGGCAGAGCTTCCTTCTTTGCCTTTGGTGCCATGTTCCTGAAAGGCTCTTTACCTTCTTTTGTTAGTATGCTTGTTTTCTCCACAAGAAATAGAATGAAATCCTATGTGGTCATTCAAAAGTGCTTACCTTCTCAGAACTGTGCATGTTCCTTCACATGTATGACTTTATGTCACCTTGAAAACATGTCTTGGAGACATTTCCTCTCATTCAACCCCACTTTTCAAAAGAGGAGAATGAGATGGAGTTGGACTAGAACCTGGATAGTTGACATGGAGTTTCTATCCTACTTTGTATAAGAATAGTGATGTGATTTTCAACTTCAAATTAGGAATCCAGATTTCTGTGATTATGCTCATAGTAATATCCTGCCTTGGAAAACTCTGAGATGCTGCTTCATTCTTTGTGATCTTTCCATTTTTCCTCCTTTTCTTCCTTTCCTTCTTTAATTTGACTTATATGTCCCATTTATGCAATTTTAAGATTATATCCTCTAAGATCCTAAAACATACAATAATGAAGACAAGAGAATAAGAGTTATTTTCTAGTGTGGTTTTACTGTTTTTCTAGGACTCGTTGGAGGTGCTGTCAGGAATGGTAATTACACATGTGGAATGTGTTCAGAGCATAGATCACTTCTCAGGAATAATGTGGATAGAAATGAGTGTTGAGTGAGGATAGACTAGAAAATACTGTCAACATTACTCCCACATTTCCTGGGACCCTCTCACCATGTCCATGGCATGACTGCCAAATGACAGCCTCATCCAGAACCGACTTTGCCCACTAGGTGGTGCCAGACATGACAGAGAATTATGACTACACAAAGAGCCCTTCAAGGAGACCTATGGGATATGGATGGCTTTCACACATTAGACTGGTTAATTCTGAGGTTTGCATTTTGTACCATTTTCCAGAATTTCTCCACAGGATGAAACTTTGCTCCTTCCCTGTGGTACCAGACTGAATGTAAATAATTCTAGTGTATTTTCTTCCATGTATCACTTCTCTTTCTCACCCATGTTCCATGTTCCTTGTTCTTCCAATAAAGTGTTTGCACATAAATCCTTGGTTCAGGATCTGCTTCTCTGGGAACCCAAGCTAAGACAGGTGGTAAAGCTATAATATACAAGACCATCATGAAAGCAGTTTAAAACTTTTGGAGAAAAAAAGAAAACTAATTATTGAGGACATAGTTAGGACTGCAAAATGACTCTAAAATTACAGTTTGTTAGAGAGGAAAGGCTTTTTTGATGTGGCTTCAATTCACATTCATTCCGTTAAATTGAAGCCAATATGAATTTATTGTCTCATGTGTCCAAATCGAGGAAGGGACCAAATGGCTGCAATACAGAGTGGTGAGCATAATAATGTGGTGTGTCATAGATCCTGTTGAAAACAAAGGTAAAAGTTTTCAAGCACCCTGAATAATTCCAAGAAAAACTCTTAAATTTTTATTTTTTAATACTTTTGAGGCATAATTTACATATACAAAATTTATTAAATGATAATATAAATTCAATGATTTTAGTAAATTTGTGGAGTTATGTGATTATTATATAATCCAACTTTTAAAAATTCTTTTAATGTTTGTTTATTTTTGAGAGAAAGAGACAGAATGCAAGCAGAGGAGGGTCAGAGAGAGAAGACACAGAATCTGAAGTTGGCTCCAGGCTCTGAACTGTCAGCACAGAGCCTAACACGAGGCGCAAACTCATGAACCATGAGATCGTGACCTGAGCCAAAGTCGGACACTTAACCGACTGAGCCACCCAGGTGCCCCTATAATCCAGTTTTAGAATCTTTCTGTTACATTAAAAGTTCCCTTGTGCCCATTTGCAGTTACTGTTGAGTCCCGCCTGAATTCTAGGAAGTCACGTATCACTCTCTGTCTCTATTAATGGCTTTTTCTAAGTATCTTATATAAATGCAATCATACAATATGTAGTCTTTTGTATTGGTCTTCTAGTCATTGTATGTTTTCTCAGAGTCATCCATGTGGAAATATGTATCAACACTTTGTTTCTTTTAATTGCAGAATAGTATTCATATGTGTGGATGTACTATTTTTTAAATAGTTTATTGTCAAGTTGGTTTCCATATAACACCCAGTGCTCATCCCAACAAGTGCCCTCCTCCATGCCCATCACCTCCCTTCCCCTCTCCCCCACTCCCATTAGCCCTCAGTTCTCAGTATTTAAGAGTTTTCCCCCCTCCCTCTCCCCAACTATTTTCTCCCCTTCTCCTCCCCCACGGTCCTCTGTTAAATTTCTCCTGGTCCACTTATAGGTGAAAATATATGGTATCTGTCCTCTACCTGACTTACTTTGCTCAGCATAACACTCTTCAGTTCCATCCACATTGCTACAAATGGCCAGATTTCATTCTTTCTCATTGCAATGTAGTATTCCAATGTAGAGATAAACCACATCTTCTTTTTTCTTTTTTTAATTTTTTTAATGTTTTATTTATTTCTGAGAGAGAGACAGCATAAGCAGGGGAGGGTCAGAGAGAGCAGGAGGTACAGAATCTGAAAGAGGCTCCAGGCTCTGAGCTAGCTGTCAGCACAGAGCCCGACGCGGGGCTCAAACCCACAAACCATGAGATCATGACCTGAGCCGAAGTTGGACGCTTAACCAACTGAGCCAGCCAGATGCCCCAAACCACATTTTCTTGATCCACTCATCAGTTGATAGACACTTAGCCTCTTTCCATGTTTTGGCTATTGTTGAAAGTGCTGATGTGAACATTGGGGTCCATGTGCCAGCTCCGGCAGGTCCAGGGGTCCCTGAAGGATGGACGGTGTCAGCGAGAGAGAGTAAGAGAGCCCCGAGATTCTTTCTGATCACCAGGCAGGCATCTCTGTCCTGTTGGTTTTTGTGTCTTTATTTAAAGGTTCAGCAACAAGATGAAGTCATAGAAAGGAACTTCTTACAATGGGAGGTCTTTTGTGATAACAATAGTAGAATTATTCCGACCAAGGAAATAACAGAATGTTCTTAGTGAAAAATAGGATAACATATAGGTCAAGTTGTATATAGATAAGTTAGGAGTATTTTGTCTGGCTCTCAAGAGGATGAATGTTTCTGAATTGGTTTGTTTGTGGAGACTAACATGGAGACCCTGAATGGGTCAGTCTTTTGCCCCTGGGTTATGTTTTAGCTACTCTTACCTATCCTCATCCCAGCTGCCAGTGTAAGAGAGGGTATTTGTGGAAAGTAGGCCTTGAGGAAGGGACTGTTATGTTTCACCAATTAGCAAAGATATATGTGGTAATTATGTTTTGTTTTTAACCCCAAAATAGGCCCTTGGTTTCAGGGCCAGGCTCAATTGTAATTCTTGTGTTCTTAACCCCCTAAGTCTTGGATCTGCAAGGCCCATAGGAAGAGCCTTTTGACAATCACCCATAGAGCTTTCATCTAAAATCTC